AAATACGGTAATTGTGCTTTATTGTTCTAGTTTGCTGACCTATATGCAGCAGAATGGGCAGCTGAACTTTCATTAAGATGTAAGTAAAAAGAATCTTTTTAATGCTCATCTCACGTCAAAAAACTAAAACTACCTTTTTTTTTTAAAAGCTCTGCAAAGCATTTCCTTAACTGCTGTCTCAAGTCTATTATTACAATATTGTTTATCAGACAGAATTAAGTGCTATAGGCAATCTACAAGGATGGAATCCTTTTTGCAACCCTTGTAGACCTGCAAACTATCTGTTCAATCTGGTTTGCTCAGCAAATTGTACCCGTAAAGCCTTCATGTTCTACCCTTAGCAGTATTGGATGGGAGGTTTCATAAAATCCCATTTAATGAGAGAAATTATTCCTCTGGCCAGAATGAACCTCAGATCTTAGTGCATGTATTTCTTCATTATCCCTTCTACAAGAATCTATGTGCTGGCATACCTATACCACCTCCTAGTAGAGATCAAACTTCCAATGAGGGAGAGAGTTTTCTACTCTCAGACCAGAAACCTGCTATTACAAACAGAATTCCCAAGTTCTTATTAGCACCATTGCTAAAAGAAGGCTTAAGGAGTCCTAATCCTGGAATGATGTTACAAAGGAGTCATTTTATTCTTTTATCTAAATTTTATTCTTATTTATTCTGTCTTGCTATGTTATATTTTGTTCTCTTTTAATTCATATACAGTATGTGTAAATTTTAATTGGCAGGCTATATGGTGGCTTTATTGCTCTTATTATATTTAAGCCTGCTTTTATGCATTATTTTAGGGTTGTAGCTGCTTAGTTGGTGAATTAAAATATATTTGTTATTAAATTTATGAATTTTTGTTTTTTATATATGGCAACATGGTGAAGTGGATGGAGTTGCGTGAGATGGAGCAATTGAAAGTTTTGATTCAAGATAAGACATTGTGTAATTTTAATGCTAATTGGAAACCTTTTTTTGGACTCTGCAGGAAACAGAAAAAAATGAAAATATGTTGTATGGATTTGATAATTAGAAATCATATGAGTTAATAGAAATAATGGAAGTTATGTTGTAACCTTAGAGTAAGAGTTTGATGTATATTACTTATATCTGTTGTAAGGAGGTTTGGAAGTCAATTCTTTTTTCTTTCTTTTCTTGTTTTTCACATTTTTAAGCTTGACTATTTCTCTTTTCTAATCTTTCTATCTTCTTCCTTAATATTAGTTGTTAGTTTTTACTGTTTTTTGTTAAAATTTAGTAAAGTTATTATAAGACCATAAATGTTATTATTATTACTATTCAATAACAACATATTTATGTCCTGTTATTCTACTAATGTCATACAGAGTAGAATTCATAATAGTTATTTCTATAAACCAATACTCTACTTTGTAGAAGGAAGAAAAATTCTCTTGGTTGTCTTTGCGAAAGTTTTGCAAACTTTGCATTATTTACTCAACTCCTCTCCCACTAATAAAAGATCCATTGTTCAATATCTTACCTGCTCCTAGAACCAAAAAATAATTACCATGGTCAAGAAAAGGTACAAATTGAATCAGATTCTTACCATTATCTCTTCATCCCGATCTGGGGACAGCACTAATGGAATTATCACCTGATTGCGCAACAGTGGAGTCTTCTCATGCTTCAGCACTTTGTTCAGAGTGTTGAGCTGCCCTGAGAGCAGAGCAAAACTATCTAGCACTGAGGGCCTGAGGCAGAAAGATGGAAATAGAAATACATGAATTATACCAAAAGAGCATCTGTGGATATGGTTGAGGGAATTAAAATAATTATTTGGATCAGAGTGCAGTAACAAAGAAATAAAACTCACTGAACATAACCACTCTAATTCTAACAGATGTCATGCATAGATTTCCCTATAAAGAATGTTTATTTATATAATATATATTCTGGTTTCTATGCATTCAAGGCAGCTAACGATTAAATGCAAAATACAAAATTTAGAAACTGAATGTAATGTAAGTGACAATGGCAAGTTTGGTGAAGAAATGTGTCTTGGCTGTTCTTTAAAAGAGACATGCATACCAAACACAACTTCTGGGGGAGCTCATTCTACGCTCTTGTTGCAGCACAGGGGAATGCCTTCTGTGTGCTAGATAAATGAGCCTTTGACAGCCAGGGCATCTTCAAAAGGATCACTCCTGTAGAACTTAATAGCAGGACAGATCTTAATGTGAATGCTGCATGGAGCTGAACAAATCAGAGTTTTGACCTCCTTGTGAGGCCAAAAAATTAAAAATGCCTCTGGTTCCAGAAAATTATTTCAAAGCCCAATGAACTCTGAGTAAATATACTGATTTTATAGTATTACATTTAAAGTATATAGCAAATCAAACAGAAATTGTTACAGGGATCAGTTTTATGTTTCAAGCAAAACATAGTGTCAAGATATCAGCTTCATTTGTTTTACAGCCTGAGCCATTACATATTTACTCCAGAATAACTACCACTGAATTTAATGAAAGTTACACCAAGATGCACATGCACAGGATTTAAGTCTTTGTTAAAAACATAATAGGCAATCACATCCTGAAATCAGAAAATTTGCTTCACTCTCCAAATGTATGTAATTTAGGGACTAGTAAGGATTAAATTTTGAATTGCAACATATTGGCTTCAATATATGTTGGGAGATATCCTAAATTATATGAAATGTTGTTATGCTTTCCCCTCCCACCACGCCAGGTTATGAAACCCTACCAAGTGAGACGGTCATATTCGTTCTCCAGCTTGTAAATGAAACTGACCAACGAGTTCTTCAGGTCAGCCACTTGACTGATAAGAGCCTCCAGGGATAGCTCAAGCTGCTTTTCCTCTCTCTGAAAAATAAGACTGAATATATCAGGTCTCCAACAGAATAGCAAACTGTCCCTCAAATTTAAAAAATATATATTTTATTGCCTTTTAATTAATAACAAAAGAAAAAGAAAAAACAAAACACAAAAATAATAATACACTATCAAGAAGAAAAACATTAAAAAGTGCTATTACAAAAAAGTGACAAAAATACAACAAAGAAAATAAAAAACAGCACAGTATATCATTATAATAAATAGTTACAAATCTATATATATTTATCTAATAATAATGTTATTCAGATGCATATATATTTCCAATACATTTATGTGACTATCATTTTTTTAACCTACATATTTTGTATAAATGACCCCCATATTTCATTATACTTGTCCATCCAAAGTCTACGTCTATAGGCAATCCACTCATAAGTGGCAAGCGCAATCAGGTCTTCATCCATAATAAATGGGGCCATACATTTATCTTTCCAATGCTGCAATATCAGTTTTTTGGCCATATCAGTCTTTTGACTTCCATTTACATTGTCCAGATGTCAAATTCCATGTACTAGGTATATAGCTTAAAAGAATACTATCCTCTGAAAATTTTAGCTTTTGTCACACAATCATATTTGTTGTATGCCGCCCAGAGTCTCTTTTATGTAAGATGGGTGGTTATATAAATATGATTGATTGATAAATAGATAGATAAATAAATAAATAAATAAAATTTATATTGTCCACTACTTTCTCCCAAAACTTAGGGAGTAGGAGTTTGTAAAAACATATGCTTTAAAGAGGCATTGTCCTTATTACACCTCCAACAAAATCCTTTTCTATACAAGCATAGTGGAATCCAATAAATTCTAAATATTATTTTTTGTTGTATAAGTCATAGTTTAAGGGCCATTGACATTCTTGCTATAGAAGTTAAGACACTCTCCCATTGTCTAGGTGATATAGAAACCTCTAATTCTTTATTCCACTCAGCCCTTAAAATCTGCATATCAAATTGATTTATTGATAACAAATATCTATAAAAGCTAATAGTAGGTTTTT